AATAGCCTCCAAATACTGTCATTTCATTTTCTTTTAAGAAAACAAAGAGATTATATCTGCTGGCAAATAGCCTACTTACCCTTACCAAAATAAATGGTACCTCATTGTGACCTCTGTAAAATCATGCTTATAAAAGTATCAAAATACAGCATTAAGAGTCACAAAGGTATTTGGTCTCTCTGTTGTGTTTGAGTGGAAAACTATTATATGTTTTAGATTGAGGGAGTTCAAAATGGGAGAGGATGACATGATGAGGTCTAGGGATTTCAAAGAGTGTTTAATTTGTTTAATTCTGTTTTCTCTTGGTTTTGGTGTTGTTTGCCCAAATAATACACACAAAACACACAACATCAGATAAGAAACCTGCAATACATTGCAACGATTTTTTTCTGGTCCTTTTTTTAGAGCTGTTCTTGAACAAAGCACCATCCTGATTCACACCAGTACCACATACTCACACGTCTCTATTGGGTACCATCCACATCCATCTGCGAGTTCAAAGAGCAATTTGCTTCCCATTAAAGCAAAAAGGGAAGACATCTTCTTTCCCCTTACACCCATTAGATCCATCCCTGCCTTCCACATGAACTCTGCTGGGCAGCACCAAGACACTGCCACACAAAGCTGCTGCCAAGCCCATCCATGGCAGACACCCTTGGTGCCCCCACCAGCTGTTGGATGTGCCAGGGCTCCACCCTGAGCCAACCCCCTGTGCCAGCCCAATGTCCCACCACTCTCCTGTCAAGGAAAAAAGGGAAGCTGATTATTTTTGGCTGGAGACATGTCAGTGCCTGTGGCCCTGCTCAGGACCAGCACAGGAAATTGCTTTCTGCTCCTCAGCATTTGACTGCCAACTTCCTTCTCCTCACCCTGCCACAAATTGTTGGGAAACGGTGCCGTGGACGATCCAACAGCTGCTGAATTTCACCCAGGAGACCACTTACCACTGAGGTGCAGCAAAGTGATTTTGCATATCAAGATTTTAAAGAAATTTGGAGCATTGTGAGATGAAGGACATTATTGATGTGAAAAGAAAATAATCATATTTACTTCAGAATCCATTATCCACAGGTGGAAACAGTACTTAAAAACAGAGCATGTATTGCAGGATGATGTGAAAACCTGGCCTGGTAAGAGGTAAAGTTTTCTTGATTATTTCAGGAAGATGAAGGCTTCATCCTGCAGTATTTAGGAGCTGCTAAGGCATAATGGCTACGTCCAGATAATTGGATGCATTGCTATAGGCACTTGAGAAATGTGATAGACAGATGCATTCAGCTAGAGAGATATCCCTTGGTGCAGAGAGCTGAAGTCAATTAGGGAGTTAAATTGTGAAAGATTTGACCTGATGTCATTTATATCTCGAGTCATAATTAACACTTAAAGTTCAACTCTATAGCAATTTTCTTTTAATAACACTTAAAACCTATATAGAGCTGAAAGAATTGCGCAGACATGATGAAGGATGACTTGAGTGCATGCCTGAATTTTTGCTTTAGTAATTAATCCTCAAAACACCTTTGTGAGGCCTATGGGGAGAATAATTTCTCTCCAGTTTCGCCTTTGAAGAGAAGCAGGGTTTACCCAATGGCTCCCCAAAGTCTCTGGCACCTGGAGATAAGGACAGAAGCTCTTTCAGGTGCTAAACCAGCAAACACTCAGCTCAGCCCAGCTCCCGTCTTTTTGTCTTGCTGAATTTTTTAATTTTACCACAATCTTTAGAAATATCATGGACAAATTACTTGTCAAATGGCCTGGGCTTTCCAATTAAAATCTGTGCAAATGCAGAACCTAAAAATCTGTCACAAACACAGCTTCTGGCTCAAAGGTTTTCATACGGATGAAATATGAATTTCACTGGGGAAAGAAACACTCTCTGAGAGTGAGACCTTGCAAGACAGAATTCAGCTTGCTGCAGATTTTTATGGTCAAGTTATAACTGCCCGTAAAGCAGGGGCAAAATGGAAGTGCTGACAAAACTTTTAAACTACAACAGTGGAAATGGCGCTGCAATAATTTATAATCTACAGGCAGCTTTGGATTTATTATCACAATGACAAATGCACTGTCATTGTTAATAGGATATTTCCCAGCAAGGACTTCTTGTTATGCAAGCCAGGTTCACTATGTCATGCAGCATGATAGCAATAAAGTCTACAAGAATTTGTAATGAACTTCAATTACTAATAGATTATGGTTAATGGGAAATATGTGCAGTAAAGATATGGGTTTTTATATGCGCCTTCTGGTACTCTACAAGGCAATGATTTATGCTACAATTTCTGTTAACATTCTCCAGTATGAAAAAAAAAAGCCTAAATTGGTGGAAAGCCACTCCATCCATAACAAATAGTTAAGATAATTTTGCACATCATGTAAATGAAGATGTAAAATTAGATATTAATCTGTTTCATTATAGCATTTGTATTTTTATTAAAAATGAAGACTTTGCCCTACTGTGTAATGACATTAAAAATCCTATCATGGGCTGCAAGCATGAATTACCCCAATGCAGGAATGGTGACAGCAGCCGAGCTGTGAGTGCATTTGTTCAATTTGCTGTGGTAATTAACGGAGCAGTGAGAATATTTTTCTATGTATGATTTAAAGCAACACTCCTGAAGATGCGTGGGCAGATGTGTTTGATGTGGAGGGTTATGTGCAGGAAGCCTGGGCTCTTTGGAGGGGGTCAGCCTTTTCCTCCCCCAGTGTGGTTCCCCCCAGCCTTTGAGGCATCTCTCCAAAGCCCTGCCTCACTCATGGACATCAGGTTATTCCCTTCCCTGCACAGCAAACCTCCCTCGGGAATTCCTTTGGGAAATAATCGCCTGACACAGCATCAGAGCCACAAGCTCACACTTATCAGAGGGACACAGGCCCAGGTGTTTGCCTGTTGTTTCAAAAGACTCCCTTCTCTTCCTCCTTCTCCCTATTTCCCTCCTTCCAGCTTTTTTCTCCTGTACCTGCATTAGAATCTCTATATTCCAGGTTTATGTGCTCATGAAATGAAAAGAAAAAGGAATGTCTCCCAATTTAAAAACAAGCACTGCTGAGAGCCATCTTTGAGAAAAACACAGAGATAGAATTTTGAGGATTGCATTTCATATCACCACCATCACATTTCATATCTAAAACATGTATTTAGCCAGAAAGGGGCACCCAGGCAGGAAGAGCTTTCAGGATCATTTCTGGTATTTTTAATATAGGTATCCTGAAGCCCAACTTGATCCAATCAATATTGTGCTGGTTTAATACCATTGCTTTCAATGAACCTCTGTGGAAAGCCTACAAATTAATTTTTAGGGGTGCAAGCCAGGAAAACATGGGATTGGGGTTTGACCTTTTTACAAGATTGTTAGTGAGAGCATAAAGGGAATGGCTTCAAACTGACAGAGGGCAGGTTTAGATTAGAGATTAAGAAGAAATTCCTGAGGGTGATGAGGTCCTGGCACAGACTGCTGTGCAAATCCCAGTCCATGGACAAACTGTACTTCCCAACTCTGGTGTGGAACAACAGTGTCTCACTGTACAATTAAGGATGATTCTTGCATGAAAATGTGGTTCCCCACTCTATTAGGAAGTTGTTTGAGAGATTTACAAAATGTCCTTCGGTTTTTATGGTAAAATGAGCATAAAATTGTGCTTCCCCACATTCACTTCCTTCTAAATAACACTTAACATACTTGCTTCTTGAAAATGTTTGAGTGTGTTACAAATTTAAAATTAAAACTAATTTATCCCTTAAGGGTGCTCTGCTGATTCAGTTTTCCCCCAACCCCTTAACACAATCTGTCGCAAGATGGAGAATGGAGTTTACTGTATTTCTCCACCCCAGTTTTTAATGAAATTCTCCTCAGAAGCAAAACAGGGAAAGAAGCTCTCCATGCATTCACGCTGAATATTTGTATGTGTGTGTGGGGTCAAATCCTCCTCTGTTCTCTCCAGATCAATTCTGCTGCTTCTTGTCTTTCCAGCTCTCTCTCACATTTTCCAAACAAACCACTTCCAAAACTGCTAAAACCCATTTTTCCCATTTTGTTGTTTCTTTTTCCTTTTTTTAAGTCTGATAGACAATAAAACAGCAGGATCTGCATCTGCAAGGGCATCTTATTGCTGGATTTTGATGCTGTATTAGTGGTTTTTTGGTTTTGTTCTGGCATTTCTGTGGCTCCCTGAGATACCTCACCCCTGACAGGGTTGATGTGGCAATATTCAGCAGTCACCTGCTTTGCAAGCACCATTTAGAAAAGGTCACTGACAACCCAAAAGAGCCACGAAAATAAATGTAACTTTAATTTGTTTCCCATTAGAAATGCATGCAGCAATCTGTTCTAATGACAGATTTTCTTTCTTTCCTGCTCTGGCGTGTGACCACAGCAGCTCACAGATATACTGAGGTCTTCTAATGCAGGAGCCTGTGCATAGAACTGGCTAAAGTGGTAATAGATTTTGTTCTGTCCAACACAGGATTAGCACAGAAACAGTCTAAAATCCACCAGAAATAACATTTGAGCACCAGGAGAAGTTTGTGTTTCAAATAACTTGCCCTAAAATAAATATAAACAGCTATTATTCCCAATATGATCTCTTGAAATCACTTTAAATCATTAATAATCTATATTGTATCAGAAATGTGTGTGCAAAAATAAAACACAAATCCTTGCAGCTAAAGTATTACCTAAAGTAAACCATTTCAACACTGAATCAAATTATTTCAATGGCAGAAATCACACCTGTCTCAGGGGATAAATTGAGTATTCAGGCTGTTAAATCCATTCAAGCGACTCTATTGTATCCCACTATGTATTGTGCCTTGTAGAGAGAAAGCAGTTCTGAAAACTATAAAATCATTTAGCAAAACAAATGCATCAACCACAACAGCCTCACATGGAGAAGAGGGTGGGGAGGTGAAACCCCTTCTTGCTGAATACCCTGTATAGTGAACAGATTTACCTAACACAATGCCTTGAAAATGAAAAAACAAATGCTACTGGAACGGGTCATTTTGGTATCAGAGTTTATTTTTACATTTTTCTTGTTACAAAGCTGCCAGGCCAGGGGAAAGCTGGGACCAGAAACATTGCATGGTTAATTAAAAACAAAAAAAAAAAGCTCTGTGTAACTGCAGAAGCTGATTCCTAACAAAGACTTTGCATCAGGGCTCACCACTGAAATCCACCTCTCCAGGAGGGTTGTTACCAAACCTGTGTCTCAACCATCTTCCCTTGCTCCCCTCTCCCAGTGCCATCATGGCCCTGCCACAAAAATAGCTCTGCAGATCATAAAGCAGAAATACAGACAGGGGAAGCAGTGCCATTATATGGAGATGCCTGCAGAGGCAGGAGCAGGCAACCACTGAACATGCAAGTGTGAGGCCACTTTCACAGTAGCTACAGGTATGAGATCTTGAAGTCACAAGCTCAAGAAATCCCATCCAAGACCCACCCAATGGCTGGTCATTCTGAACCTGCACTCCTGTCAGCTGCACCAAGAAATTGCAATTTGCTTATTTGAGCTGTAGAGAGTTGTTGAATGAAGATGGTGGAACCACATGTAGTTCTGGATTACTCCTCAGGAAATGGTTAGGTTTCTGCAGTGCCTGAGTGGATGTCTGAGTTATAGCTGATTACACAACATCTGTATGATAAAGCACAACTTACTGCCTAGTGAGCAGCACATTCATAGATTAGTGTAGAATTAATCAAGTATTAAAGCTTGCTTAAAACAACAGATGTTAATACTGCTTTCTTAACAAGCTCCAAAAATTATTATCAGTGCTGAAGTAAATGAAGCCATTTTAAAAAGATGAAAAAAATGCATTTCAGCTGTTAACACTTTGTATCTCTTTGCTTTAGATCAAGAAGAAGTTAACTCATGGCTCAACCACTATTACACCCAGGCTACTATTGAAAAACACCTTTCCATCTCTGATTTCACTGCATCCAGGCTTTCTTAACTCTTCCATTACCTGACGCTTTAGTTCAGGAGGGGCAGTTTTAGTAAAGTCAATTGTTTCTGTCAGGAAATCCAGCAAGAGCTCCCCATCTTTGTCCCCTTCAATAAAGCAGCTTGTTATGTCCAGGTGGGATGGGAGCTCATAGACCTTGTACTTCATCCCAGTTGAATCCAGCATTCTTGGCAAATCAGCAGAGGAAATAAAAGAGCAAAAGCCTTCCAAGGGGAAGGAAGATGAATACTTCCTCCACAGCGTTTCCCAGCCACTCTTTCCTAAGAGATAAACCACCAGATAAACACTCAGAGTTCAGGAAAAACACTATTTGAAAGCAGTTTTGATTGTCTGGGTTTCTTTAGCAGTTGGCATCATTGCAAGTGGGATCTTTCCAGGGCTGTCCTCCCTGCTCCTGCTCCTCAGGTTTGGGGGCTGCAGGAGTGGCTGGGCACCTGGAGCTCCAGCATCCCTCCTTGAGCCTCCAGCTGGGGCCAGAGCAGTTCACACTTGTGTACCTCTTCTCAAGAGACATTTTATAAAGCAAACCAGCTGGGTAAGTTCAAAAGTCTCCACATACATCTTTACATCTTTATTTTCCCCCAGGCTCGATCTCTGATTCGGTATTTCTACTGTAAATCATTTTTAGAAGGATTATTCAGACTGGACAGGACAAAAATAACTTTGAGCCTAATGAGCAGCTCTTGAAAGTTACAACAATAATTCTCCCTAGGTAGTAAAACCTAGTAGTTGTTTTATCTGCAAACAGTTACTTATAGTCAAATAAACAGTTTGGTGTTTAGAAGAGAGGCTACAATATTTTCTTTCACCTGGTGGAAATTGAATGCAGAGCACTAATTGCAGGAAATGTGCTGGTGTCAGTGTTGTGTGACTCAGAGCCATCTCTGAGCCGAGCAATTATCCCCTACCTGAACGCAGCATTATTCTAATGGCTCTGGGAAGGCTCAGCATATGGCACTGCTTTTGTTTGCGAGGAGGTGGCAGCACATCCACAGCCCTGCACATCCTGCTCTCCTGGAGCAGGGGGAATTGCAGCCTGCACCGACTGACCCCAGCCCTCCCCACCAGCCCTGCTCCCAGGCTGGCCTTTAATTAACATTAACACACCCTGATGTGTTTGCGTTGGAGATGACATTACCTTTTGTGAAATGAGCTTTGTTCTGACGGTCTTTCAGTAACTCCTTTTGCTTCAGCGCTCATTTTCATGGCACTTCTTCCTTCCCCTCTCTATCCGCTTGTTTTCCTTAAGGTTTTTCCCTTCCTTTCCTCTCTGCTATTCTGGGTCCTGTTCCTCTCTCCCACTTTTTTGTTGCCCCTAGCAATTTCTGCTCCATCAGAAAACACACTCATCTGGCCCAGAGAGGACTTCAAATACTTTTCATGAACTCAGAACTTTAATCATTTTAATTTTGAATAAGCACACATTATTTCCTGTATTCACATTTTATGAATATCCAAAGGGACAGGTTAAGCAACTGGAAAAGAGTTTTAATTAACTATATGCAGGTAATCAGCAATAGTCTGATATTACGATCTATTCTTGCTCAGCCAAAGAATATGAACAGGTTTTAAAAATAATTTTAAATGCAGATTTCTTGCTGTAAACTGCTTTGAAAACACTTCAGACCAAAAATATTTGGGGAAAAAAAGTAGTTCAATAAATTCAGGTCAGAAGTGCCACTTCATAGAGGATCCTTCATGAACAATATAAAAAGGCACTTCATCACGTTTGCAGACAGTGAGAAATTAAGCTTAAACCTCTGAACAAATAATGCTTAACATACCTTTCAGAGTTGTTAGATGTGACTGTTTACACAGCTGAAATTTCCATAGCTTTTGAGGCAAATTAAAGGCTTTCTAGAGTCAAATTATACTCTGCCATCACACTGTCTCTGGCATACCTTGCCCACAGTATTAAAAGGTTGTTGTTTACTCTGCTCCAACATTTTCCTGCTGGATTGACCACAGAGCATCTCCGAGATCTAAAACAGCCTGAGAACGCTGTTTAGTCCCCAAAATGATGATATTAAGGAAATGGGCAGTTGGAAAAGAAAATGAACCATATGTGCTCCAACACCTGCTGTATGGCACTCCCGAGCCCTGCTGTAGCCGTTTGCTTAATGCCACAAGTCTCTGGGAGAGAGAAATGCAGTGCCCAGCCTGGAGAGGCTTTTCCAGCAAACAGCAGAGGCTGCAGGGGCTCCTGTGAGTGAGAGCTGCAGGATGGAGCCTCTCCTGCTGCGGGGCCCCTGCTGCCACCCATCCCTGGACAGGCTGTAGGATGGGGAAGGGCAGAGAAAGATGTTTTGTGCCCATGACATTGGGGGTTCTGGTCTTATTACCCACGCAGACACAGTGTGCAGGTTTCAGGGGATGGCCTGTGCTACACACAGGAACCCCAAAGGTCCTCAGCCCTTTCCTGACTGAGCAGTGCAGGTGGAGCAGCTCTCACCTGACACCAGGATAATGAGGAGCTTTGCCTGCGATTCCAGGAGGCTGTGGAAATACCGGAGAGTCGCTGGGATATCTTTCACATAATAGAGCATCTGGAAAAAGCAGAGAGATGCTTAGAGACACGCAGTGCCATCCTGGTGACTATTATAACTGGTGCCACTGTTAACAGGAACCAAAGGGGACAGTCCTGACAGAAAAGCAGGGACAGTGAGGCACCTTAGGAAGGTGTGGGCAGTGGGCTCACACTGCAGGCTCGGGGCTGTCGTGCCCTGCCTGCTCCCTGGCACTGCCAGGACTGAGCACATGCTCATTCATCAACCTGAGATAAAGAGGTTTGCCTTTCTTCAGTGAAGGCTTCAGTGAACTTGGAAATACAAAGGCAATTTCATGGAGAGGACAATGAGCTTCTGAAGACACTAGCTAAAATGTATTCTTAGTTGACTGCCACCCACAGCCTGGTTAATAGGACTACTGTGCTCAAAGCTGCTTTTCATTTTTGCAGTTCATTTATGCTAAAGCACTTCAAATTACTGGGAAGTAAACTCACCTTTCTTCCCCTACGAGTGGATAATGAGGTCACATACTTCATGCATACTTTTAACAGCTGAGTCTGACAACATTTACTTCGAAGAGACACCTTACCTGGATCATGTGAATGAAGTCCCATTTTTTAGTCTTCTTTTCTGCATTCATTCGACTTTCGTATTCATTAGCTGTCTCCTTGTGCCAGGTAAACTTTATGTTCTCGAGGTTTGATGCCTGAGCCACATGCTCTAAAATAGAGAAGAAGGCAGGACAGAGTTATCTCAATTGCAAATACAAGGCTGATTTCTGCTTAGAGCTTTAATACATCCAAAACCCGTATTTAGGTCGAGAGTTTGGGTACCAGGTCGACACAACAGTGGAATATCTAAAACCTTGAGCCCATATGTGAGGAGAAGGCTGTAGAGGGCTTAATAGGACAAAATCTTAAGAGAGTCTGATGCTTTTCCCTTTGCTCCCACATTTGGGCTCCTCTGGTGGTTACCTGAGCTAAAAATAAAAGGTAATTTCTTCCCCATGACTGGCTCAAGCTGAATTAAAAGATGTTGACTGGGATGAATTGTTATGAGACCATGAGCAGCACATGTCTTGGTGAATAGAAGGACTGATGGCCCCAGCACCTTTGTGCCACACAAAACCCACATGGCTGAGCAGGAGTCAGGCCATGGTGGAGGATTTTCCCCACATAAAAACAGGTGCTCAAGGATGGATCAAAGCAGGAGTTTCTTGAGAAGAGAAGCACAATTAAAAGGTTGAGAAGGGCAGAGAAAGTGAATATCTTCTTCTAAATGTGTGTAACTGGGATGGTAGGAGAGAGAAGGAGCTTTGTTCCAAAAGCAAGGACCCATCTCTTGACATTCAGCTGCTTCTGTGTTGAAACAATTTTTCAGAAGCCCAGAGTTCTGACCAGCTGCTTCAGGCAAAAGAGATGACAGTGTTTTAAAGCAAAGAGCTTTAAGGAGTGACACATGGCATATCTTCAGACCTCAATACAATGCACATAGCAACTGAGGAAAACAGAAATTTGGAGAAGTGAATTCAAAGAATAAGTGGGCCTGGCTCATTGCTGCATTTCCTTTGTTTTTATGGGAGCAAAACTGAGAAATAATTTCATAATGTAGGGGATGCTGGAATACTAATGTCCATCTGCTGGCATATGGAGCTCATCTCACTGTCTGTGCTCGGGATTGCTCCAGGACAAAGCAGGCCTTGATTCAGTTCCTGTGCTTCACTGGAGTTAGCATCAATTTAAAACTTACATGGCCCAAAGGCAGGCTGAGCCTTAGCTACAGAACACATGTTCAGAACAACACAGTTTGCTAAGACCAGTGCCTTTACACCACTGACAACAATGCTTCTCCTTCTGGGCTCTGATTTGGACACTTCCCCACCAGGCAGATGAGAAATGCTCCATCAGTGCTTATCTCCTCTCTTCTGTGGCTGGAAATGGGCCACCCCTTTCAGATGCTGCCACTGTTACTCTGTTAGCTTCCATTTATCAGTCAGTGGCCCCAGAGCTGGCAGTTCAGATTTAATTTACTGTTCTAAACTCAGAAGCAGCTCCTGTCCCCTCACCAATAATCTGGGGCAATCTGGTTCAGTTTAATTGTTGGTCTGCCTGCAAGGAGGAGCTGGGAAGAAAACTGAATTGCTTTCCAGGCTGGGCCTTTGAAGTCTAAATTCTAGGAAGTGCAAATTCGTTATGGGATTATGGTAAATTTCTGCCTAAATATTCATCTGAAGCCATTATGAAAAGCTTTCCTACCTTTTCCCCTGGGTTCAGCCCAGATTCTTTTCCCACTCAGAAGCTGGTTGTGTACCTGATGGGTGCCATCAAAACTGGGCTGCCTGCAGCTGTGCACTGGTGATGTAGCTCAGCTGTGGGGCCACCAACACTCCAGACATGGCCACCAAGGGATTCCAGCAGGAATGAAGGAAGGACAGCCTGTCCATGAGGCTTTGAGGAAAGCCTCCACCACATGCCACAGCCTAAGGGAAACCTGAGTTTGTCATCACTGCACATCCCAGCAGGGAGCTTCTCTCGTGAGCTTGGCTTCCCCTTCCCACGGAGGAAGCATTTGGTGAGGCAGAAAACATAACCACTGAATCCTCAGAGGTGAGCATAATGTTTCTAATTCTCTACAGAAAATCTTAGGCCTCAGAAACCTAATTAGTGGTAGCTACTGGGGACATGATTAATTACCAAATAAGAGAGTTTAAAGAAAGAAATTCAGATGAATATTTAATATCTAGTTTAGCTTAAAACTTAAAATAAGGACAACATTTTATATTTTCTTTAACTTTATTCTGGAAAGAATCTCACTGCAGTAGAATAGGACTGCCAGTTAATTGGTGGTAGATGGTGGGACCACTGGGAAGATTCAGAGCAAATCCAGTCCAGTGTAGACCAGACAGGACAAAAATTCTTTGTTTAAGTGCACAAACTGTCTTAGAGAAGCTGCTGTGTTGCTCACCCTTCACCATTTCAGCCTGCAGCAATGTAAAAGCTCTGGGGATTTTGCACAAGGCATCTTTTAAAAAATCAAGTCCGTGTTAAATTGAGAGAGATATTAAAAATTAGGTTTTTCCTGGGAGCCTTTGGCGCCTCCAGTGATTCTGAGCTACCTCACTTCAGAGAGAAGGGGATTGTTGCTTTTTTTTCCCCCCTTTGACTTCCACAAGCTGATTCACACTGGGAATGCTTCATTTTTAAGGACTTAAGCAAGAGCAAGATTGGAGATTTACAGTGTGGTTTTACAGCCTGGTGTTTACTATGGTTTGGAGCATTTCCAGCAAGAGCTGGATGAGTTTCATTCATTGCTGCCACATCCATTCACAGCAGCTCTGGGGCCAGGTGTCACCTCCCTCAACACCTCCATCACCTGCCAGGTGAATCCTGGCTAATCCGGTGATAATCGAACTGTGCTTTGCTATTTAGTGCTCACTTTGTAGGGCAATTTGATCAAAGTACCCTCGTGAACACTCAATCCTCCTGGGAAGATGTTTCCTTTTCCTTCATGAATGCTGCTTGAACTTTGGGCTGGGGGAAGGAAAGAAGCTCTGAGCCCCAGAGCACATGGCAAAATCTTTCCTATCACTCCTGCTTTCCTTTCCATGTTTTCTAATTCAAAGCCTGGTAACTAATTTAGTGCCCCACTGTGAGGTTTAGTTATTTGTTGGAAACGATTTTTAAGATGTGAGAGAATCACCATGAGACACTAAAATTTTCCCTTTGATGCTGAGGAAGGATCCTGATTCAACACAAGCTGAAGTAGAAAAACTTTCTGAAATGCAGGGATTTCATTCCATTCCCATACAATCACCCATCACTTCCATCTTGTTTAGCTTTTAAAGTCTGTTTAGCCAAGCATTTGCCATGCAGAGTTTCTTTACAGTGTGAGAGACTAAGATTTTAATGAGAGTGAACAATGTTGAGAAGCAATGATGGCAAAAAAGCATGAAATTTTGAATTTTTTAACTTTTAAGAGGCAATTCTGACAAGAAGGCATTTGAGCATAGAGTCATCCACCTTTCAACACTTTTTAATGCACGTAAATTAATGTAAATTTAATTTATTTAATGTAAATTTAATTTATTTAATGTAAAAATACCTTTGTATTTGGAGATTTGGCTAGCACTTGGCTCTATCACCTCGTTGTTGATGGTGACCCCAGGATATCTGGCTCGTATTTTTGAGAGGATCTGCAAGTCCATCTCACCTAAAGAAGCAGGAGACACGAAACAGAATGAAAACAAAGCTCAGGCAAAGGAAATCTCCCCAACCATGACATCCCCAGCTTGGCAGATTGATTTCTGCCATTTATGTACAGATGCACCACACAGCTGCTTTGTATTCTCAGCAGGTTGTAACTGAAGATTGAGCTCTGGGATTTGAGAAAAATGTAAATATCAGTCCCAACTCTCTTCATTTCTCTTCTCCAAGGAGAAATGGCACCACCAGGGCCAAGGGGAAACCAGGCACAGTCATTCTTGACCTCTTTTTTTCTGGACATGGTCTAACCTCAAGGGGGAGATCCTACACAACTCTCACGGTGCCAGTTCTGATGGTTCCAAGTCACCAGCAAACTTGGCAGGATTTCTCAGGAGTCGATAGGAGCATTTTTAGCCAGGCACCTCCCTGGTTACAAGGTCATGTGGGGGAGGGAAAGGGAATATGTGTTTACACTGGAATCAGAGACAATATTCGTATCTGTTTGTCTTTAGTGTCCTGTGACTTTTGCCAAAAGAATGATGAATAGAGCACATACCATTTGTGTTTAGCTAACCTCTGTTTACAGAATACCCCAGAGATGACTGCATTTCATGTTTTTGTTGAGGAAGAGTTATCTCCAAACACTGCTCAGGCCAGCTGTAATTATTTTATTGATGGGTGTACCAGTAGATCCAAGATTTCAAAATTTAAAAATAGCTCCATCATTCTCAGCCATCTCACCCCATCTGCAGTGTAGGAAACTCAGAGGGATGATATTTCTGACTGAGGCATGAGTCCAGGGACAATATCCTGCTGGCTTGCTCAACTTTCTCCAACCTCTGCTTATTGTGCTTGGATAGATTTTAGGTGGAAAAAAAATAGAATAAATTAAGGTAAGAAAGAGTAAAACAGAGGGTTACTACAGTGAATAACAGATCCAGGGGTCATGTTACAAGCAAATATTGAGATTTACTTTGTGCTTGCACAAAACTCCATGTTATGAAATTCTCTACAAATGAACAAAGTTTTGTAATGAATGGAAGGTCACTCAGCAAAGTTATGGAAAGGAAGGCCACCCTGATGGCCAGACAGGCCCTTGCTGAGGGGCTGTGAAAGGAGGACCTGCACAGCCTCTGCCCACCCTCATCATTTTCAGAGCCCCTGGACTCCCACAACTTCAGCATGAGCTCCATGGTGCAGAATATTTGAGGAACAAAAGGAAAACACTGGGTACTAAATTGCTCATTAGTGCCCAGAGGACATAATATGCAAAGTGAGGAAGAGTTGCATTTTTCAGATTTATGTGTCCTTCTTAAAGCACCCAGCAACACCAACATTCACATGGCATCTCTGGAAGCATGTTGTTTGAGGGAGGGAAATTGAATTTCTGAGACAGCAGAAATAGTTGCAGCTTTGCTATCACAGCAACTCCTGTACTCTGTAGTCTGCCATGGTAAAATTTGGGAACACAGAATTTGTAATGAACTACTGCAATAGTTTGATTTTTAGTTGCTTTACGAACTTTCCATAAAATGATTTGGTTCTTCGAAAAGGCTATGCAGGTCCTGATTTAAAAAAATAATAATTTTATATTTCCATATGCAGGTAGGTTAATATATTCCCTTCTGCTTTTGTGTGGCCAAATCACCCTTGTACTGTTTTTAACCAAAAACCCCACCCCTTTGATTCATAATTTAATCCACAGCCTTAACTGACTTCACTTAGCTCTTTTATATGCAAACAAGTGTCCCGAGGCATTTTACAGTCAGATCGGTGGCAGCTTGCATTATCAACAATTTGGCAATTAGGCTATCCGAATTATTTAAACTCTCCAACACAATTACCTTTTAAAGGCTACCACTATGTTCGCCATTAAGTTTCTAATTAAACATTTTACGTAACGGGATAGTTTATAGCCCAGTTGCTACTTTATAGCAGCGCTGATGACTTTTATGGCTCTTAAAGGTGCAGAGTGCCGCGCACTGGAGCGTGAATTTAATAAAGCAGCGGCTGCAGGAGCAGTGTTGGGATGGGATGGGATGGGATGGGATGGGATGGGATGGATGGGATGCTGCAGTTGATGGGTTCTTCTCTCCCGAGGTGCAAAAGCAGAGAGGAAATGCTTTCCTCCTTCCGTGCCTCCTCCTTGTGAAACGCAGGGGTCAGGGCAGCAGCTCCATCGCTGCCCTCCCACACCAGCCAGGATCAGCTATAGGAATTTGGGAATTGTCTCCCTCCTGGCCTCACTACGACCCCTGGTTAGAACAAACCAGTGAGCAGATGGGTTTGGGTGATTTGGGAATTTTTACATCACAAGGTGACTTTTGCCTACCCAGTATTGATTGATAGCAAGCTGGGCTGTCTCTGGCCAGGGAGTGGAGT